ATTTAGGCCGTCTCATACGCATTTTCCTTTTTGAGTTAGTAGCACACCAACTAGTGAAAGAAGGACCAGCATGACCACTCTGGAGCCTGCACTTTTATAAACAAATGTAACAATGGCAGTTCCTATATTGTTATTTTAACAAATTCCTATTAAATATTAGACTATTCTTTAACAATGGCATCTGGCAATGGCAAATTTTACAGATCACATCCTCCAGGGTTTGCTGGCCATTGAAGTATCAGATATGTTTTGTGCCGCTCACACACAAGAAGAGATCCTCAGCAAAGACGGTAGGCAAAGAGAAGCATTCCATTACTGTCCCAAAGATGGTCTGTGATTCTGCCAAAAGGAAATGCGCTATTGTGTTCCCATTTCTGAAATAATCTGTACTAAAACCAAATTAGAAGCATTTCCAAGTGCAAAATCAAGTTCTTCTGATGGTTGCTTGCATTATAACCAAGTAGTTAAACTGAGCTTGAGTGGCGACTTAGGGGTTGGGTCTGTGAACTTAGTGAAGTTAACACCCAGTGATGGGTAGATGGATTCCTACTCAAGATCTATAAGTGTCTCTACTACTTTCTATTTATCTACTGATATTACTTGGCTGCAGTGCACCCATGAAGATACTTCCTGGACAGTGTACAATGAAATGTATTATATATAATGTATTCAATCCCCTCAGCAAAGTGTACACTGGAGCATCTGGGTCTTTTTACAATGATTGTGAAAAACACTGCATTATAATAAGTATAAGCGGTTTTTAAAATGTAATGATAGTGCTCTCAATATTAAAAGCATTTTTTACATTTTACATACTATTACTCTTCAGCAGATGCAAAAAAGTGACAATGCGTGTCAGAAGTTATAGCAATGCCAGCAGTTACACATTTACATGGTTAAAATCCTCTTTAAAAAAAAAAAAACACAGGTGCTGAAACACTCGCGCACCCCTAGCAGTATTATAATCCATTCATGACCATTGCTGTCACTTTTGCTGGCCAGTTTGGTCAGTGTTAAAATATGTACAGTAAATAAAGCCATATAAAACAAAAACAAAAAAAGGAATTCATATATGGAATACTACCATTACAGGTATACAACTGCATACATTTTTTCATAATGTTTTTCTTTACAGATTTCCTTAAACGTAAGAACCAAAATTTGCAAGAGACACTTTAAAACTCTTGCAAATCATTGCTTATGTAAAATGAGCAGCCATCCTCAGATTAAAGGAAGTGCATGGTTTTGATCTAAAAATTTTTGAGAGCACAGCAGCTTGGAAATGCGCAATTCACCGAATAAAATTAACAGATACAATAAATGACCACACTACAAATGGTGCTGGATATCTCCAGTGCTTGCTATTCAAATGCCTGAGAGAAACACACCTGCTGCAGTGGCTTTCCTGTGTACATGGCTACTGACTGCCTTCTCAGAAGGCCAGGGACCAGAGACATCCCAAGTAAAGAAAAGCTTGGAGCTTTTCTAAATTCCTACAAAATTCCTAGATCATACCCACAAAATGGCTGGCTCTATTGCCGGCAGGAGTTCTATCTTAAAAATGCATTTAAGCACCTTCATTTATTTGGGTGATACCATCCAGTGACAGTCTGCAAGTCACCGGTTGACAATTACAGCTAGACAGCACCATATACATTCACAAATCAATGGCAACAGTTAGTCAAAACAGGTTTTCACCTCTTTAAAAAACAAAAGTGCTAAAATGAGGGGAATTACAGAATGGGACAAGTTTAAGGAGCAAGAAATAAATAAAACAAATGATTTAATACATAAAATGAAGGACAATGACTATCTGTGGGGATATAAAAACAAGTGAATGAATGAGGACTCCATACACTGGGTACTTGTTGCTGTATATGACATGATTGCCAATTACAAATTGGGCTGTAACACTTCCTTTTGAAATCTTTTCAGTTAACAAGTGGAGTTGGAGGATCATTTCAGATCCCTTAATAAAAATAAAGGTTCCAAATTGCTGTAATAAAACAGTCCTTCATAGCACAGCAATAACAATAATACAATAATTTAAACCTCATGTAATACTTATATAAAATGATATATAGACACCAAAATGTGAGAACAGTTATGGCCATAAGTTATGATCTATGTGTCTGTGTGACATATAAAAAGCTTGTAAAACTTGAGTACACAAACAGGACTTAACCGTGACTCGGAAAGAGACATTTCTGAAAGTGGAGGTATTAAAAACAGATTTTCAATTATATTGAACACGTGGGACCTGACTACTGCCAATCCTGGGAAACTAACACCATATTCCTATTCGAGAAGGTCCTGTGGCATCTAGTTTCTATGCACTGCAAGCTCCCTGTGTCTAGTGTCACATCAACATTTGTAGAGCACGGCAAATATATATGAAAATAAAGCTGGCTGTGTAACTGCCAAAACACTGGTGGGAAACACCCAACTTGCAAAAATCTCAGCTTAGGTGATGTAACAGATATATATATATATATATATAATTAGGGATGCACCGATACCGATACTAGTATCAATATCGGTGCCAATACCGAGTATTCGCCCAAATGCTCTGATGCCTAGCCCGATACTTCCTGTATCAGGAAGCCGGGCAGCGCGTCATTACAAGCTGCCCGGTTTCCACACTTGTGAAGAGAGAGCATGGAGCCGACTTCCTTGCCAATCAGGAAGCCAGGTAGCGTGTAATGACGGCTACCCGATTGGTCGAGAAGCTGGCCAATCAGGAAGCCGGGCGCCGTGTAATGACGCAGCGCCCGGCATTCTGATTGGCCGGAAAGCCGGCTTCATGCTCCCTCGTCATCTCATGATGGGGGAGCATGGAGCCGGCCAATCAGAAAGCAGGGCGCCGCATCATTACACGGTGCCTGGCTTCCATGATTGGCCAGCAAGATGGCTCCGGCTGGGTACCGGAGGAAGCCCGCTCCTGGCTGGAGAGGCCCCGGGAGTGACAGGCTGGACATGCCGAGGTGAGAGGGGACAGAGATCCGCACTGAGGGATTCATATGGGACGGCTTTCTTGTTAATCGGGAGCCTGTTGGCGAGTCATTACACGCCACCTGGCTTCCTGAATGGGACTTCCGGTACTCGGTAATTGGTATCGGTGAATACCGAAAAAAATAATAATCGGTACCAAAATACCGGCATCGGTGCATCCCTAATATATATATCTCCGAACTAGTCAGGCTTAATTAAAAGAGAACTGTAACCAAACTTTTGTTTGGCTTCAGTTCTCTTTTTTGTTCACAGGAGTACATTTACTAATGTAGTCCTATGACCAAAAGGCAACATCTAGCCGGCTGCTGCCCTCCATTTGCATAATGGTGCAGAGCCGGGCCGCAGCCGGGAAAGATCCCAACAATATTGTCAGGATCCACCCCACTGCCTGATTGACAGCTGACTCTGTCTCTCTAGAGCCAGCTGTGCCCACCCCCTCCTGTCTGTCCCTCCAATAAACTCTGGAGGTACAGAGAGGAATCCCTATGGGGATTGGACACTGACAGTCACCACTCTCTGCAGGGAGAAGCCTTGAACTAAGCAATGTGACTGCTCAGTTCCCAAGCTATATTGCTGTCATGTGACAGCTGCAATGTCTCCCTATAGTTCTCCCTTAAGGATGCAATTGTCAGCTTATGCTGCATGACTGTTTTGACTGCGCCCACGTCACGTCTGCTGTCTTCAGTTGCATACAAGCAACTATGAACATTGGAGGGGTTCGATCAATCTTACATGCTATCTGCCTTGCATTCCATTTGCCTTACAGGGAACCAAACCCAGCACAATACAATGTGGGTAATATTATGGCAGACCTGCCAGTGTACGCAGTGCAAGCTGATACCACTTAAGGGAATAGTCCAACTTTTGCAAAAAATGAATAAATTCACCCACAATAATGACATTTAAAAAATGTGCATTAATCAGATCTTTGCATTATAGCTTGCAGAGCATTACAACCATGATCAGTGCGTCAAAGATGCAATGCACAGTCTACTGAACTGTGTACCCGCAGCCCAATACAGAGTTATAGGTCTTCTGTGAAGGGTTTGGAGGAAGGAATTGATAGACTACAAGTGCAGTGAGGTCACCGCACTTGTGATCCATTGAGATCTGTAAATCCTTCTGTGGTGGTTGCAGATGGGACACCAAGTCTTCCCACAGATCTCTGTGAAAAAAATTATGTGGCTGTGTGGTTGGAGCAACGCACAGTGGCACTAAATTTAAAAAAAATCAGGACACTGCAGGGAGAAGAACTCATTGATTCAGGTAATTGGCGGGAAGTAAGAGGGTGGGGGACTAGGGAATGTAACCATGTTTCATACTGCACCCTAAATATGAGTGCAACATGAAACATGGTAAGAAAGATGTAATAGGCCTTTAACAAGACATATCCTCTAGGCATGCGTTAGGCAAACTCTGATGCAACTAAAAATCTCAATAGGCATTGCAAGACTGACAGCCACAGGCATGACTCCCAGGAACAGATGAATTATGGGATTTGTAGTTTCAACAAAGCTGTTGGACCAGAGTTTGCCTACCCCCGTGCTACACTTACATCAAACAGCCTTAAGCTGATTTTTGGATGTACAGAGGCACGCGTACAACCAATTGGGTCTGGCAAACCTGATGTTGCACCACTTGCCCTGCATGTAAAAACTAAGCAGAACGGAAATGGGGCTCTGTAAACACCACCATACCATAACACTAAAATGTACAGACCTAAATCATTCTGTGAAATTATAAAAAGAGATACTTATTAAAATGCAAGAAGGCAGAACATCTCTTTAAATGATTTGCAAGTTTCATAAAATGTCCCTCATTCTATAGTGTGTGTGGAAGGCTGGAATGCTGTGCACCAATAGGTACCACCTCTACAAGTGTGGCTGTCAGGCTCTGTCTTCGGAAGATACATGTAAACACAAGGCTTGTGGAAAAAAACAAACAAAAAAAATTAAATAATATATACACAGGCAAAATATAACCGCACAAATGTTTAAAAAAAAAAAAAAAACGACTTCTGGGACCATCTCCAGCAGCAAAAGGGTTAATGAGTCCTCTCCGTGAAGGTCTGGAACAGTGTTGCTGTACAGTGAACCCACATGCGCCAGTTGGAGGTGCCGCCCAGACTGGATACACAGCTGCTTTAAACACCCTCCCCATTTCCCAGCACCCCCCTCTCCATTAGGTGTGATTTCAGCGTGTTGAAAATATGAATTTGTTGGTCAGGACGCAAAGTTAAAAACTGCTGGATTAGTTTGCTCGGGTTGGGACCCCTGTTAAGACAAAAATTATAAAATGGATCATTATTATAAAATGCAATTAAAGCACAAGAAACATACAGATCATATGAGAGGAAGAATAACGGTAAAAGTGGACCTGAACTCAAAAGGTGAAGATTTGCTATTCTACAGGAAAACTTAGAAATGTTAATTGTGCCAAAAAAAGTCCCATTATAAATCAGGATTTATGACATACTGTAAAATCTTTTTTTTTCCTTGGAGTAGATTATAGGACACACGATAGTAATTCAGGAACCTTGGATTTTGTTGCTGCCTTCAGAGGATTGAACACTGACAAACAAGAAATGTAAAACAACCCCACTCCCTGCATGTCTAAAGTTTGTAGCAAGCAATAGTAAGCATTGATCTTAAAGAGGAACTTTACCCAACTTTACCCATATCTTCAAAATAACAACCTTTACAAATCTTTAGTAATGGTGACACACACACGAAAATAATGATTTGATCCCCTGCAGATTTTGTAAGTTTGCCCACTTACAAAGAAATTAAAGGTCTATCATTTTGATCATAGTTGTATTTTAAATGATAGAGACAGAATATCAACCAAACATCCAGAAAAAACACAGGATACAAATTAGGGATGCACCGATATATCGGCCGCCAAAACATATCGGCCGAAAATGGCACTTTTGGCATAATGCATAAAGTGCCATTTTCCTGCAGATAGAGCGGCGCATCCCTGGTGTCCCAGTGGGGAGGAGAGAAACTGTGACAGCCAGCCGAGCGCTGCGGGAGGAGAGCGCTGTGAGTGGCCGGCGTCTCCTCCCACACCGCTCAGCCTCCTATCACAGTCCGGCAGAGTCAGGCCGCGCTGTCACAGGAGGCTGAGCTCTCCTCCCTACACCGCTCGCTCAGCCTCCTGTGACCGCGTGTCAGAGAGGAGAGCAAGGTACAAACACTCAGATCAGTGATCGCTGAGTGTTTGTAGATAATTGGAGGACAGAGTATGATTACTATATCCTCAATTATGAATGAATGGGGAGTGATCTACATTACCTCCTGTTCATTCATGATTGTGGTTATAGTAAACACACTCTGTTCTCATGTGATGAATGAACAGGAACACTCAGTATAGAGGATTCCTGTTCATTTAGAACAGGGGATACAGAAAAAGAGATTGAGGACTTTGTGCCCTCAATCTCTTTTTCTATTTTAAAAGGGAAATATCAGGGGTCTGTTTAGATCCCTAATATTTCCCTGAAGCACCTAAAAGTATAGTAAAAAATAAAAATAAAAAATGAACAAATTTTTTTTAAAGTTTATAAAAAAAATTAAAAAAATATTTGAAAAAAATTAAATAAAAAGCATTTTCCGTATCGGTTTTGGCCTGACAATTTTTTGTATTCAGGTTAAGGCTTTCAAGTCAGACGCTGAGGTGATGGCAACAAAGAAAGTAACCTTGTACACAAAAATAGACAGGGGGAAATCCAAGACAGGTTGAAAGGGCGGTTTCTGGAGAACCGATAGAATGAGTTAAAATTGCCTGGAGTCACTGGGGAGCATACAGAGAGAACAATGTGAGCAACAGTGAAAGGCAAGCAGTCTGGGAAAGGATTGCTAGGGCCAAGATTTGGCCCTTGATACAAAGGCCAGAAAGCATTGCGGTGTTGGATAGATGGGTACATATAAGCAAGCATCTTTTATGTCCACAGATGCCAGAAAATGTCTCCAATGAAGGGTATCAATGGCAGATTCCATAAAGGAAGGTTTTTCTCAGATCCAAAAAAGGGTGCCTCAGAGACAATTTTTCACCAGTTGGTGCAGCAAAGCCCTGAACCTGTAAGGCCCATGATACACCGAGGGCATTTTGGAGAATGCTTTTTGCAGGGCTCATTGCAAATGAGTTCCACTGGCTCTGCAGCAACTGAGGTACACTGCTACAAGAAAAGCCATCTTGATAAAACCAAAAAGGTTAAAGAAGGCTTTGCTTTTCTCAGAGTAGAGAGAAAACGTCTGAGGCATGCTGTCCTCGCAGTTCTTCTTTGCCAGTGTCCACACCCCTGAATGGAGCAGCATTACCCAAGGCTCCTGAACTACTACCGGTATATTATGACCCATAATATAGAGCAAGGAAATCTACCTTCTCTTGAATTCCTCCTGAAAAGTAGCAGTGCAATTCATGGTGCACAAGGGTGCCTAGACATTCCTGTGTCATCAGCAACATACTTCTGCAGTGTGACATCTGATTACTAATTTAAAAACTGGCCATACACTGAGCACATTTTGGCCGGTTCTTGATGCTCCATGGATGGCCTTACACCCAACATCCTTTAATCTGAAAATTGACGGAGCCTGGCATTAAATTGTCGTACAGTGACTGTAGCTAATCAGCCAGTGTCACTGTTCGGGTATTCTGTCAGCTGTACACCCGCTTCTGTCAACATAAAAGCCCAGCAGAGGATGTCTCCTCATCCACGTTGTTTAGCGTGAATAGCGGAATCTCCAGCTGGGAGGCTAAACAAAAAAATCTACTGGTATATGGCCAGCTTTAGGGGATCTGGAGTGGTATTTAGTGATGTCACTACTATGTTGCTCACTACTCCTCCTTCTGGAAGCTCTGACATGAGTAAACAAAGCCCTTCATCCATACAGAGACAAAGTACAGAACAAGGCATTGGTAAGCCAGTAATGGGAAAAGATCAGCTGCAGAGTCACAGGCAATAATGGTGACATCTGTCTGCCTTTTAGGAACGGCTTTCAGTGTTCAGTTCCTCTTTAAATTGCAGTAAGCCAATAAAATAAAAAAATAATCAAACAAAATCCATATTAAAATGAACGTCAATGGATTCTAGCAAACAAGACAATGTACAGGACGGTTGGAATAAAATAAATGGAACTTCCCACTAGGCTTTGTTTCTTCTCATTACTCACCTGATAAAGCTGGCAATGTACACATTTACAAACGTAGCCATCAAGTATTGACAGTCAAACCTATCCATGATACCTCCATGGCCTGGAATGGTGTTTGCAAAATCCTGAGGAAAAAAGAAAATATAAGAACCCAAAAGGAGCACAAATCCTAAGTCTTCAGCTAACATACTGGCAATAAAAGACAGCAAAAAACCTACACTGAACGCTGACATTTATGGGGAATTATAGGCAGCAGCCTCTGGCAGAAGATGTCACTGAAATGTTTGTGACACATATCTTGTCTGTTTCTCACGGAGAAGATTCTAGGTTTTAGCCTATTAAATCACAGATTAGCAAATATATCAGGATGGATTTCTCCATTCTCAGCTTGTGCATATACATACGAACTTCAGGCTTCTCTTCCACCAGCTATGGACCCTATGACAGTTTTTGGTTGTGATTTGCAGCCTGTTCACTCATCTCTGGGAGGTACAAACTGCACCATAAGCTTTTTCTTTTTGCTTACTACCGAGATACTTTAAACTGTATCAATGGTTAATATATAAATTCAGAAATGCAATATAACATGTGCACCCAATTTAAAATGTACCTGCCATTTTCAAATTACCTCCATTTTCAGCCCAAATATAACTGGTAAGTCTATTATGGGTTAAGGTCCTTTGGATATGAGACAATGTTCAACCATGGCTGCCTGAATTGTGCCAGTATCACCCATCCAGCCACTACACCAGCATTATCTGCAAAAGGGCTTGCTGACTCAAGGTGATTCACATTAGTCACCTTGGACTATCTGCCTCCAGACAGCTCATCAATGGCAAGTCTGACTAAGGCCAGGTTCACATCACTTTCCTGACCAGATCTGGACCAGTAGACAACGAAGATCACCAGCACTCGGAGAATGATGTTCAATATTCGGTGTTCGTTGAATCAAACACATCTTCATCACATAGCCAACATTTTGGGGCCACGCAGGATCCCTTCATCAGGGTAAGATAGTGACCGATGAAGGGACCCTGCGTGGCCCCGAAACGGCGGCTACGTGATATCTGTGACGATGTGTTTGATTAAATGAACACCGAATTTTGATCATCATTCTCTGAGTGCTGGTGATCTTCGTTGTCTACTGATTGATGTGCATGGCACCATACGTGATCATCATTACAAGCACCACCATTGCTACTGGTCCAAAATGCTGTAAGGAGTGCAGGGGGACACATTGGTATACTACACCAGATCTGTAACGCGGTGTGTTGCATTTAGACGCGTTTTTGACACGTTCCAGTGCATTTTTTTTTAGATTAAAATGGGCTTTCAGGTGCAGACCAGTGTGTTTGCATGCGTTTTTGATGCGTTTACATGCTTTCCAGACCAGAAATATTAGCGCATGCAGGATTTTGTTTGCCCACATTGGAGCGGACTGCACTGGTGTGAACAGAGCCCAGAAATATCATAGGAATACATTGAGATGCATTTCAGGTGCGGACAAAAACTGTTCTGGTCTAGGCATGGTGTGAACAAGCCCTAACTCCACACTTCTAAACTGTAATCAGCAGGAACAGTTGGAGCAGACACTATCGCTCCACAAACACTGCCCTCCACAGCTCTTTAAAGAGGGATTTTGAAACGTTAACCCTTGCAGTGGGGCGGGGGTTAACTGCTTGTTTTTCTCTAAGAGCAAAAATAAAGAAGAAATACTCCTCTGATATTTGGTCCTGCATCGGTGACCGCTTACCTCTCTCCCCCTCCACTTCCACGTCTCTTCACACCTAAAAGACTTGTATTAGACGTGATGATGCCAAGAGTCCCTAGACCGCTGGAGCCCAGGGAGAAGAGGCTATGGGGACCGGTCTACCAGCCAGGCAGAACTGAGGATCGGGTGAGTGTTATTTTCGCACCCTAGACAAAATGAGCAGTTAAAAAGGAGAACTATGGGGTTAAGTCTTTTCCCCATAGTTCTCCTTAGGGTAACGGGAGGACACAAACTAGCGTCCTCCCGTCACCCTAGGCCGCAGCTGAAGCGGATCCCGACAATTGTGCCGGGATCCGCCCAGCTGCATGACTGACAGCTGGCTCTGCCTATGTAGAGGCAGAGCCAGCTGTACCCGCCCCCTCCCCCGTCCGTTCCGCCAGTCAGCGCTGGCGGATCGAAGCGGGGAGCGGGGAATCCAGCCCCTCCCCTGTCACGACAGAGAGCCGTGACAGGATCGAGAGGTGAGCGAACGCCGTTATGTGTTCACTCACCTCCCGATCTACTGAGCCGACCTGTGACAGTCTCATTGTCACAGGTCGGCTAGAACTATGAGGTGAGTGAAAAGCACTCGCCTCATAGTTCTCCTTTAACCTTAGCAGGGGGTAATCCTGGAGTTCCGTTTAAAAGAAGTTTCAGCAGCAGCTTAGGCAGTGACATGTGTGGACCTCACTTCAACCTTTCCACCACAGTTTGTGAGAAGATGCTGCCCCAAAGGTCTTCATTCAGCATAAAATGTTAAAGAAATTTATCTTAATCAGTCTTTAAAATGATCTAATAGGCTAGTTCACACAAAAAGGTGTAGCTTGCATAATCAATATAAAATGGAGGTTTTAGATCCACTTTAATATGAAGTGAAGGAGGGTTGAGCTCATAGGAATAAACCTAACCCGTATCCTTCTTGGGTAGACTGATAAGATTTTTTGCCACTATGGGCAGAATCCAGCATATGCACCACAAAAGAAAAAACATAAAATACGGAACAGAGGTGAATCAGATTAATACCATATTAGTACTAATAGAATCTCACAGAATACAGTAATCATAATTACTTTGATCTGGAACGCTCTTTTGAATCCACTGGCGAAGAATCCTCCAAAAGGCCCAATGAGTGAGGCAAACGTAGAAAGGGCGATGCTGTGGATTTGGAAGGGATACATCCAGACAGTTTTCTGCAGGACAGAGAAGATATCAATGTTGTGACATTCCAATATGAACACCAATAGGCTTTTTCACAATGATTAATGGTTGTACGAAATAACAAGCTTCATGCCACTTTAATCATTCCCCGGGCATTACTGTTCTATGGAAATTGTGACCTTTTAAAAAATGCTTAGTGTGTGCAGCCACCTTAAAAAAAAGTCTATAACCAAAAACAAGACTTGTTTATCTATAGAGAGGAAATGACAAAATGCTTCCAAATACATATTTTGACCGCACACGTTTTGTGTTCGTGGTCGTGTTGATTGTGGACTTGGAAGCTGTCTCAACTAGAGCAAGCACTCCCAGAAAATGTGAGTAGTTAGTGGATGCAAGTAGACCTTTACGGAAGGATCCACCACTGTGTGCAAAGCAGTTTGATGAATGAAAGAGCTTCCATTTTTATGAGAAAACCCCTTCAAAATGGCAATGCCCACTGTTTCCTTAAGCTCTACCATTTCTAGACCAAATGGTAATTTATATTTACACCTGTCTTGCTATGCGAGTTGGCCAAACCCTAAAAAAGCCTTTAAACATGGTTATATAGCCAAAGGGATCTTGTGTTTAAAGGTGAACTCTGGGGTCAGGGCTTTTCCCCATAGTTCTCCTAAGGGTAACGGGAGGACATAAACTAGCATCCTCCCGTCACCCAAAGTTTAGTATACTGCAAGCTACAGCTCGCGGTATACTGAGATGCCGCAGCCGGAACGGATCCCGACAATTCTGTCTGCATCCACCCAGCTGCGTGAGTGACAGCTGGCTCTGCCTATCTAGAGGTAGAGCCAGCTGTACCCGCCCCCTCCCCCGTCCGTTCCGCCAGTCAGCGCTGGAGGATCGGACAGGAGAGGGGGGAATCCCTGCAGTGAGCTGTTAGTGACAGTCACGGCTCTCTGCACGGATAGATCGAGAAGTAAGCGAGCGCGGTTTGTGTTCGCTCACTACCTGATCTACTGAGCCGACCTGTGACCGTTTCATTGTCACAGGTCGGCTCAGATTATCAGGCTGAGTGAAAATCACTCGCCTCATAATTCTTCTTTAAATGCTAAAAAGCTAATTCATTGCTCTATGTACTGTTGTTGGAGGAGAAGAGCTGGCTCACAATTGGTGATCCCAAGTTATCCCCAAAAATTGTTCAATAAGGTTAAGGTCTGGGCTCAATCATCAAGCCATGCTTTATGGAACTGGCTTTAAGCACACGGGCATAGTCATACTAAAACAGAAAAGGACCTTGTGCAATCTGTGGTCACAAGGTTGGAAGAGTACAATTGTCTGAAATGTCTTTTGGTGCTGTAGTATTGACAGTACCCTTCACTAGGAACACTTGAACTTTCTAATATGGAGTGGTGACCACATACGTTTGCTAATATATCATACATACATGAACTTTTAATGTCCCTTTTCAGCACTAGGCTTTTGTTTTTTGTTAACAAAAAAAACACACTTAAAATGATCCTGACTTCTAGCTTGTTTCTAACATTTAATCCTAAGCCTCAACCAATATTTTAAATAAAATTAACAATGATCTACTACTCTGTGCCCATACATTTAAAAGGATAAATCTGCCTTCCACAATCTACATCCTTTAACGTAGTAGTAGTCCCCCACTCCAGTTACCCCTTACCCACGTGTCCAAAATATGGCATTGGACAACACTGTGACCCACTGCGGTCGAAGTCAGTGGCATATCTCCTCTCTCCTCCGACAATGTTGTGACCCATTGTGGTTGAACGCAGTGGTTCACCCTTCCCTCCGTGGATAACATTGCGACACATGGCAATAAAACTCAGTGGTTCACCCTTCCTTCCATTCACTACGTCTTACCTTGGTATTTCATAGGACCTGACAATATTATTGTTTTTATTAGCATTTCAGACTCCTTCCATAATTGCAATGTATTGTCTTGTTTTCTTCTAAAGTGTGATCTGAATGCAGTTATCCGAGACCACTAAACTTGTTCTATACTGTACCATTTATTAACACTATTTTAAAACTAAAGAATGTGGTGAAACAAAAGGATAACTTAAAAAAAATAGATAATTAAAATACAATATTTTTGCAATTAAAAATGATCTTTCCATTTCTAAACTGCAGCCAGCTGTGACTTTTCTGAAATGCCAAAACAATTCAATAAAATGTCCTTGCAATATGCCAAACTGGAGGCGTTCCGTACACTGCTGAGAATCCCACAAATACTAATTTATTCCTGTATGAATGTCTCACTACTTCGCCCAGAAGTTTGTGCAATGCTAAAAAATAAAAAATTGGAAGCCTCACTTGCAACACAGCTGAAAGGGATGCACATGCTCATTTTGTGACCACTGAGATTGCTCAGGTGTTGACAGTGAAAGCAGGCTCTCCCACTTCCCCAAGTCAGCTTAGGAAGGATATATTAAAAAGGAGAACTATGGGGTTAAGGCTTTTCCCCATAGTTCTCCTTAGGGTAACGGGAGGACACAAACTAGCGTCCTCCCGTCACCCTAAGCTCAGTAGCTCGCGGTATACGGAGACGCCACAGTATACCGAGAGCTACTGAGGCGCCGCAGCTGAAGACGACGCCGCAGCGAGAGGTATACTGAGACGCAGCTGAAGCAGATCCCGACAATTATGAGGCAGAGCCAGCTGTACCCGCCCCCTCCCCTGTCCGTTCCGCCAGTCAGCGCTGGCGGATCGGAGCGGGGAGGGGGGAATCCAGCCCCTCCCCCTGTCACGGCATAGAGGCGAGCGAACCCCCGGATGTGTTCGCTCACCTCCCGATCTACTGAGCCGACCTGTGACAGTCTCATTGTCACAGGTCGGCAAGAACTATGAGGTGAGTGAAAAGCACTCGCCTCATAGTTCTACTTTAAAGAACTCTGGGCAAAAGTGTTATCAGTGGGGATACACTGCAAGGCCCCATCCTGCCCCGACCATCGCACAGTTCAATTAGCGGTATATGCAAAAATCACCTGGACGAATTTCGTTAATCAACCGCACAGATTTTTGTTTGAGCATGAGCAGTGTTAATCGTACGAATTTTGACGTACGGAAACGCCACCAACCTTGCGCAAATCGTACGAACGACCAAAGTCGGGGCAGCAGTATGAAAATCGTACGACGGTTCGATCGTCCGATGGTTGCAAGGTGTATGGGCACCTTTAACCAGTTGCCGTACGCTCGTAGTTAATAAGTGTAAAAAAATATAAAAGTCACAAATAAAAAAAGTAAACCCCCCCAAATGTTTAGGTCCCCCCACTTCGTTTATGCACATATAAACGTAAATACGCGTCCGGTGCACCAGCGCACAAAAACGACAATTGCACTACACATGTTACATATCGCCGCGAACGTCGCAGTGAGAGCAATCATTTTCGGGCCAATCAATCACTGATAACACTAAACTGATGAGCGGTAAAAGCTTTTAAAAGCGTCGCCTATGGCCAATTTTGGGTAATGTAGTTTTTTGAGGTTTCGCGCACGCAATTTTAAGGCTTGACATGTTTGGTGTCTTTTTACCCGACGTGACCCCATCTTTTATATTTTACCAAGAAATTGGGTAATAATAAATGTTTTAGAATTTATTAGGGGAAACAGTTCTTTTTTTAATTTTCTGTAATATTTCCTTAATATATAAAAAAATAAAACTCCCAGTGGTGATTAAATACCACTAAAAGAAAGCTCTATCTGTCCCCAAAAAATGGTATAAAATTCATTTCAGTACAGCGCTGCATGACGGAATAAATGTCAGTCAAAGTACCGCAGCGCTGGATACTGAAAAATGGCCTGGAATGGAAGGGGGTTTAACCCCCCCGGACTTCAAGTGGTTAAGGTGCCCACACACCTTATAATTATCTGCATATTTTCTGTGGTCAGATGGAAAAAGTGCAACAGATTGGCCCAGGTGGAGATTCCTCCATCCACACAGTGTAGTGTAGATGGAGGAATCTGTTACACCTTTTCCATCTGACCACAGAAAATCTGCAGATAATTGTAAGGTGTATGGCCAGCTTTAGAGTGAGCTGGCTTCGAGGATCAGGTGAGTATATCTTTGTCATTTTCCTCCCTAGACCAAAACGAGCACTTAACCCTTACAGTGTAGGGGAAGACCTACTGCAAGGGTTAATTTTAAAAAATTGCCTGGATTTCAGCCACAAAAATTGATTTTCAGTGTCCAGACAACACTTGGGAACCATGCTTTGTCTCCTCTCATGCTTTGTCTCCGGTCTCTTACTGTTCACAGGACACCTCAAGAAACATTAAAGAAGAAGAACTCCAGGATTTGTTTTTATTAACTCTTGCAGTGGGACTGCAGCACTGGAATGTTTCTCAGCTTCCCCACATCTATATGTGTATAGAATGTGATGATTTACAAGACCTTAGACCCCTGCAGCGAAGGGGGAAGAGAGGCTCCAGGTCCTGGTTTAAGAGCGTACTGCCTCCAATGATCGGGCCAAGTATTTTTTATTTTTTTTAAGCACCTAGACAAAGACAGGCACTTAACCCTTGCACTGCGGGGTTGGCTCCAATGCAAGGGTTAAGACAAATTCTGCCCGGAGTTCTGCTTTAAAGCAAAAAGCTATTTATTGTGAACACAGTAAGGAATCAGCAATTACGTTTGCTAACATTCCTGCAATGTATATAATTCACCTGGATGGCTTTGTTTTCATCTACAAAACTGGAGCTTTACATTAACCTAACCATTAACCTAAACTTATCAGTTAACATAAAAATACACCGTATTTGACAAGTTAAAGTGATGGACTGATCACTATTGCATTCTACAAGACCACCACTAGATGTCACTGTTTAACATCTAGTATTAGTCATCTCCAGAATACTGGAATGCACACAAGAAAAACTTGACATTCCATGGAATGGGTGATAGAAGTCATTTGACTCAGGGTATGGATTTTGCTGGTTTAGCCATTTTGTCCTTGTGGCCGCCTGCCATTTTGATTTTACCTTTGATGGCCGAACCATTTTTTTTCACATCCATGCGTTAAAATGCACATTAGATTGCACAAAGAATTAAAGGTCACTAAATCCTCTATTTTCTGGAAGCAGAAAAGGTCAATAATTTAAATACTGTGGTCGGAATTTATCAAAACTGGCGCAAATATAATCTGCAGCAGTTGCCCAGGGCAACCAATCAGCTTCTCTCTTCAGTTTGTTCAGTTAAGCTTTGAATATGAGAGACAACGTGACACGTAAAACCTGAGTGAGTTCTCAATCATTCCCTACTTTATTCAAAGCTAAAGTAAAAATGTCTGGCCTTTACAATAACACTTCGATTTCCACTCTGGTGACTTGTGTTGTATTATACCGGCTTAAGCCACCGGCTCTCTGTATAAGACATGCCTAGTCCTCTGACTATCAGGAGACTGAACTGCTCTTGGGCACAGGAGGGCCTCGGAGCTCATATGTTGTTAGTGAGGCGAGGGTCGAGCACAGTAGGGAAAGTGTGCTGCCATCCACTACCAAGATGGGGGTTCAGCCATTAATGATGTGCACATGACTTTACAAAGAAAGGGATGAGGAAAGTTGTGGTGTATGTATGGAACTACCGTATGTCTGTACTGAATAGCTAAAGAAGAACTCCAGGCAAATGTTGTCATTACCCCTTGCAGTAGGACTACCCCCACACTGCAAGGGTTAACTGCGCGTTTCGATCTAGGGAGGAAAATAAAAAATAAAAGTTACTCATCCGAACCTCAGAGCTGGGCTGGCTGTCACGGCGCCTCCTGCAGCGATGGTATGTCCCTTGGCATCCTCATGTGTATAGACCGTGATAACTCAGGGAACTTAGATTGCTGGAGCAGGGGGGTGGAATGACTGGTCTAAGAGCAAGCCGGCTCAGAAGATCAGGTGAGTATTTGTTTGTAAAATGCTGTGATTGTGAGATACTTACACTTGCAGAACATTCACTTCCTGCTCTGAAAGGGCAAAATGACTTCAGTTTCCCAAAACAATGCACACTGGGATTGCGTTCTCATCAGCAGAGCATTGCTGGGAAATCTCATCTCAGGGAAAGGCATTTTCCTCCCCCAAGATGATGTGCATGGTCACATGTCTAGTCACATGTACCAGATTTTAAGGAAGTAAAAGGAGAGCTAGTAATCTGCCCTTAGTAAACATGACCACTGTCAGAAGACTGGGAAACGAGCAATGAGGAATGCAATAAAAGAATACAAAGCCAGCAATTATCTAGAAGTATGTGTTTGTAGATTGTCATTTCTAAAAGGTCCGCTGTAACCCTTGCAGTGTGGGGTTATTAACAATTTTGCCCGGAGTTCTTCTTTAAGTATTATTCTTTTTGTGTACTCCTTGGGCCACATTACCGATCTGCTTTAAATGTATCTCTTTTCTAATTATTATTAAAATAACAAAATAGACAGAACAATTATCACATTACTGTGGTTAGAGAAAGGTGGCAACACTGACATTAGCCTGTCAGTGGTCATTTCAAAATTGCAAATAAAATCATCTCCTGATGGGCTGGGTACTCATGTCTGATCCAAGACAATGCTATGGAGTGCATTTATCCCAGACTCACTTGTTTTTATTTATTTCCCATATTCTTTTCTCAATTAGTAAGACCACCTAATGTGACCAACACACACTCCGTTATATGCTGGCCATATAATGCATATGCAACAGCCTGATGCCTAGACCCATGTGAGGGATATGAAATTCTTTCAACAGATGGACACTTAACTGTCCGGCACAGTTCAGGATTGAGCTTTTGTATCCTTACCCAGCCAATGACAGACTGAATGAGCGCAGGGATGTGATATTCCTGTAACTGAAAGAGGTCTGATGGCTCGCAGTCCACTGTAAATCTGTTGGTGTCGCTATTATACTCCACGGGGCACACAAAGTACCTGTATCCAGCCATGACGTAAGAAAGCTAAGGAAACAGTGCAACATATATATTAGTGACAAAGGACAAGACATAATAGTATTGGACCTAATGAGACGGAGATACAGTAAAAAAAAAAAGACAGACCAAGATCAGCCTACACAACCTAATTCTTGCCAATCAAGCACAAAATCTGTCCGGTATCATCATGAAAGCATTTTTTAAAAATAGTGCATGCAACATTTTTTCAGATCGCACTGGACCAGAAAGCAGGAATTGATGTGCCAGATCTTCGAGAGAGAGAGAGGGGCGAGAGAGGGGCGAGAGAGAGAGGGGAGAGAGAGAGGCGGGCGAGAGAGAGAGGGGAGAGAGAGAGGCGGGCGAGAGAGAGAGGGGAGAGAGAGAGGCGGGCGAGAGAGAGAGGGGAGAGAGAGAGGCGGGCGAGAGAGAGAGGGGAGAGAGAGAGGCGGGCGAGAGAGAGAGGGGAGAGAGAGAGGCGGGCGAGAGAGAGAGGGGAGAGAGAGAGGCGGGCGAGAGAGAGAGGGGAGAGAGAGAGGCGGGCGAGAGAGAGAGGGGAGAGAGAGAGGCGGGCGAGAGAGAGAGGGGAGAGAGAGAGGCGGGCGAGAGAGAGAGGGGAGAGAGAGAGGCGGGCGAGAGAGAGAGGGGAGAGAGAGAGGCGGGCGAGAGAGAGAGGGGAGAGAGAGAGGCGGGCGAGAGAGAGAGGGGAGAGAGAGAGGCGGGCGAGAGAGAGAGGGGAGAGAGAGAGGCGGGCGAGAGAGAGAGGGGAGAGAGAGAGGCGGGCGAGAGAGAGAGGGGAGAGAGAGAGGCGGGCGAGAGAGAGAGGGGAGAGAGAGAGGCGGGCGAGAGAGAGAGGGGAGAGAGAGAGGCGGGCGAGAGAGAGAGGGGAGAGAGAGAGGCGGGCGAGAGAGAGAGGGGAGAGAGAGAGGCGGGCGAGAGAGAGAGGGGAGAGAGAGAGGCGGGCGAGAGAGAGAGGGGAGAGAGAGAGGCGGGCGAGAGAGAGAGGGGAGAGAGAGAGGCGGGCGAGAGAGAGAGGGGAGAGAGAGAGGCGGGCGAGAGAGAGAGGGGAGAGAGAGAGGCGGGCGAGAGAGAGAGGGGAGAGAGAGAGGCGGGCGAGAGAGAGAGGGGAGAGAGAGAGGCGGGCGAGAGAGAGAGGGGAGAGAGAGAGGCGGGCGAGAGAGAGAGGGGAGAGAGAGAGGCGGGCGAGAGAGAGAGGGGAGAGAGAGAGGCGGGCGAGAGAGAGAGGGGAGAGAGAGAGGCGGGCGAGAGAGAGAGGGGAGAGAGAGAGGCGGGCGAGAGAGAGAGGGGAGAGAGAGAGGCGGGCGAGAGAGAGAGGGGAGAGAGAGAGGCGGGCGAGAGAGAGAGGGGAGAGAGAGAGGCGGGCGAGAGAGAGAGGCGAGAGAGAGAGAGGGGGGGGGAGAGAGTGTGATTTCATCAAACATTTTGCATAGCCTGCTTAGAGTCCCTCCTTTGCACAATTGTATTTATTGGGATGAATGTGCTGACAAAGACTGCTGGCAGAGCACTGTACTTACTAGTATTCCAAACACAACGGTAGAGAAGAAACCTCCAATAAAGCCTTCCCATGTTTTCTTGGGTGACAGCTGGTGAGAGCGCAAGGAGAGCCAGATCATTACAGGGGAAGAGGATGCAATGCATAAAATACAACAATCTACATGACAGTTATGAATCCAGTCAAACAATTAGGATTTAGGAAGCTGTACCCACAGACCATGAGGAATAAGCTGTCTCAAATGAAATGAGCAGTGTTTGTTTTCTGGTATTTTCTCTTTCTTTAATATGGTTAGGACTAACCCATTTTTCTTGATACGTTTTAGTGTTTTTTTTAGGAAATATTAAACATTTTATATGAACATTATGTAGTCTTCTAGTCAGCCATCATGTGGATCTATGCTTTTTCACGTACTTCCCTCTGAATCCATTCAAATTCTAGCTGATTAGGTTAATTCCTACACAGGTTGTTGGTCAATTTCCTGGTAGGTGATAATCTGACTATGTGGCCAGGTTGGTATTTGAAACTGTATACTTAGTGACATTAAAGTCAAAATTTTTTTCCCTACCCCCAATGTTAATGTCAGCACTTACCTTAAATGATGTCTCTTAATCCGATCTTCTTTCCTGTAGTTTTCAGCCTTCTCTCCAGCGCTGCGGCGGGTCTCCGATCCAGCGCTGACTCCTCCGATCCCACGGTGTCTGCATGCAGGGGCAGGCATCCATAGACTTACCTTGTGTCTCTCGTCTCCCGGCCGAAAATCCGAACTGCGCATGCGGCCGCCCCAAGATGCTTTGCGGCCACCCGAGCAGTTTCGGATTTTCGGGCTGGAGCGCGCAGCAAAGACGGGCTAAGTTTAAACCGCTGTTAAAGCGTTTTTGTTTTTTTTACTTTTTGCATATATCTACTGCTTGCTAGCAGTAGATATATGCAAAAAAAAAACCAGAGGGTTTTGAAACCCTTTAAAGGTCAATCTTGGTAATTCAATAAGAAAAAAAAATCTTAAATACATGTTCCCGAACAGTACAGTGGTGAACCACATGAATCTAACGTATCAATAAAATGTATCCAGCTCAGTGGTTAAGACAAAACCCTGCTGTGTTCTGCCTGCTCTGACGGGTTAATCATAGTGCAGGCCTATACGAGATCTTTACTTTACCCGCCACCCACTGTCGGTGGAGTGAGTCAGAAGGGGCTTCGGAGCAATATTTCTCTCCATTCTGTAAAATATGTCGATTTAAACACCACAGCATTAACCACTTCCGGGCCGGCCGTAGTAAAAAAAACGGCCGGCCCCGAGCTCTCTAGATCTGAGCGGGCGCTCAGACACGCCCCCTCGCGCGCGCCCAGCGGGAAACGGCCGAAATTAAAACTTTTTTTTTTTCAAAATTTTCTTAAATTTTTCCTAATTATAGTAAAAAATAAAACCCCCAGTGGTGATTAAATACCACCAAAATAAAGCTCTATCTGTCCCCAAAAAATGGTATAAAATTCATTTCAGTACAGCGTTGTATGACGGAATAAACTTCAGTCAAAGTACCGCAGCGCTGAACACTGAAAAATGGCCTGGCCAGGAAGGGGGTCTAAACACCTGGTCTTGAAGTGGTTAAAACCCACTTTTACGTTCATGGTGTTCTACGCCTTCTCAAAAAGGTTCATCGTCTCATAAGACTTTTTTTGCTCTGTGTTTTGATTATTTTACTCCCATTTGGCGGAGAATAATAGGAGTAATTGCCATGTTATTTTTTACATAGCATAGCATTGTCAAATGGCAGTGACCACCAGCTGGGAGTCAACGTGTTTGCCTCCCGACTTCCTCTCTATGGCTGTAAAACCTGGTCACAGCGGGTGTACATTACACATGTAAGTGGAGGCTCACGTGTACACTTTAACACATTTCTCCTACAGGCATGTGCAATAAAGGACAGCAAATTGATAGAGTGGCTCTATGTCCTGGTGCATTAAAAGTCATCTCATCAGAATGGAATCCTAATGGAGCTCAATGGATTAATAGACGTCGTCTAAGCTCCTGTGTGCAGCCACTAATCCGGTTGTCTATTTTACAGATACAAAGATTGGACAATAGGCGTAATAATGATCATTCACAAATGCAGCGATATGTTCACTACAGACAATTAAAGCTGATAACTAGAAGTGAAAACATTAATTCCAGTATTAAGGAAATCTGGCAAATTGCAGAATTTTGATTCACTGGAACATGTCTGATCTGCAATCTGGTCCTAGCAGTAGCTTGTACTCGCCCAAATGCTCCGATACTTCCCTCCAAAAGTGGAATTTCCAGCCAGAGGGAGACCTCCCTCTGACCACAAGTGCAGAGGGAGCAAGGAGCCGGCTTCCTTTCCAATCAGAATGCCGGGCGGTGGTTTATGACTCACCGACCGGCTTCCTGATTGGCTAGGAAGCCAGCTTCACTTGCTGCTAGGCAGCCTGGCTTCCTGACTAATCAGGAAGACAGGTGGCACATATTGATCCGCCTCCCTGATTGGTCAGGAAGCCAGGCTGCCTAGCAACAAGTGAAGCCAGGCAGCACATAATGACCCACCTCCCAGATTGGTCAGGAAGCTAGGCTGCCTAGGAACAAGTGAAACCAGCGTCATGGTGTGCCACCAGGCTTCCTGATTGGCTAGGAAGCCAGCTTCACTTGTTGGTAAGCAGCCTGACGTCCTAACCAATCAGGAAGCTGGGCAGCACTTCATGACTCGCGTCCTGGCTTCCTAATTGATCAGGAAGCCAGGCAGCCTCCTTCGCTAGAACACCAGCTTCACAGGAATCAGGAATCAGGGCAATGGGTCATGATCCGCCACCCGACTTCCTGATAATCTTGGCACACGGCACCTGTATTCGGTATCGGCGAGTACTGGAAAAATAAATATTGGTACTCTTACTTGATTCCGAAAAACTGGTAGGTGCACACTGGTTGTAATAAATGTGTGAACGGTCTTATTCATGTGATTCATATGTCTCTATCAGGCAGTACAGTCAGGAGGGTGACAACACGTTCGCTGTGAGAAATTATGAATTTACAGTTAAGAATACAGTGGTGTCACTTCATCAGCAGTCTGCCAATCATACGAAGGTGAGGCAGTAACAAACTGATGAGTCTTTAACTCTGCTATCTCCTCCTGTGTGCATATTGCCAGTAAGCACATGTGCATGCAGCCGGATATCATTGGCTTCTGGTGCTGCCGCTCCATGTCCCAGTCTGCTGCCAGAGTGCTGTTATGCAAGGAGGGGACTGGAGGCAGATATCATTACAGATTCATTCAGAAAATGTTTTTTGGCTTTAGTCATTTTGTCAACTCTCTTCAAGAGACAACAGAAGTTTAGTTACCTTGATGAGTGGCGTTCGGCCAAAGAAAAAGCCAAACATATAGGCCATGATATCATTGCAGATCACACAGGAGATGGGCACAGTGAACCTGTTTGAAAAGAACAAGAGTGCAGTATGAGGATGACTGATGGACACATGGGTACAAAATATCAAAATTATTTGCCCTGTGGCAGAAAGAACACAAATCAGAAAGAGCGCACACAAAGATGTACAAGAGGTTATTTGTACAGTGACTCAATGGTTAACACTAATGCCTTGCATCACAGGGAGTTCCGGTTAGAATCCCGGTCAGGACACGATCTGCATGGAGTTTGCATATTCTCCCTGTGCTTGCTTAGGTTTCCCTTGGATACTCCGGTTTCCTCCTACACTCCAAAGACATGCTGGAAGGTTAATTGGCTCCTGTCTAAATCAGTCCTAGTATTTGTATGCGTGTATGTGAGATAAGGACCTAAGATAGCAAACTCCTTGAGGGCAGAGACTGACAACAATAATATGTAAAGCGTTGCGGGAATTGATGGCGCTATAGAAATACCAGTAATAAATAATAAATAGTTGGATGGTCTCATGTTGATTAATGATTAATTACGATTAGAAGGTTCAATCCACTAAACTGTATTCCATGTGTTATTAGCTTCAACAATGATTATTTTCAAAGCTCATTAGCTCTCATTAGCACCAAGGCTCCAGCACATTAATGATTTGTCATCCCATAGTGTTACTGGTGCTCAGGAGTCTAGAAGCCAAGAGCTACTGGAGATAAATTGTGCTGTAGCATTGATACAACTGAAGCATCACTCAATGCTTCATTCACGGGACTGACTGCAGCAGTACAATGTATTGGAAGTCTATACACTGGGTCGAATTTCGGCGGGTTTTTAATGTACCGGACGAAATTCGCACAGTGTGTGGGGCTATCAGCTCCCTTTCAGCCGGCATTCATCAATCAGCTGATTGAAGGAGCCAGCTGGGAAATTTTCGAGCTGCCAATGAGCTGCCCGCTCAGATCGATTTTTCTGAAAGGTGCCGGCGGCACCTGTCAGAGTACAATGTAAACAGCGGGATTCCTCGATCGACACGCTGTTTGTGGAATTTTTTTCGTTCAGCTTGCGGGTTGAACAAAAAAAATTGATAGGTGTATGGCCAGCCTAAGTCTGGATATACGGCACTGTTCATACACATGTCTTTCTGTGAATTGATGCTCATCTCTAAGACCCCATAAACACTTGTAATTGGGCTACACTGCAAATTCCAGCAGCAAGAATGAGCAGATCCGTACCGCTGAAATAACAGGCGTTTTGCAAATAGCTGCTGTGGGGAAGCAATGACAGGCTGACAGCAGCCGCAGCTGTCTGCATGCATCTCACAGTCAGCCATTACCTGCGATAAGGGACAGATGATGCTTCCAGGATGCGGACAGATTGTGTCCAGGGACGATCAACTGTCCCTAACTGCAGGTAATCACTGGCTGTGCAGATACATGCAGACAGCTGCGGCTGCTGTCAGTCTTTCATTGCTTCGTACAGGCTTCCCCACCGCACCTATTTGCAAACACCTTTGATTTCAGCTGCTGATTCTTGCCACTGGAATTTGCAGTGTAGCCAAATCGCAAGTGTTTATGGGGCACGATATCACAGGAAGACCTGTGTATGATCAGTGCCAAACATCTCTAGTATGTATTCCTATAGCAAACCCGATGTTATAACAGGTTAGTAAATGCTGGGACTTTAGAGGTCCTATAATGTATAGTGTGCACGATTTCCATTCCCTCTCCAATGGTTATTAAATCATGTCTAAATTTTGTGTCTACTAAAAGTTTAATACAGGTAGGCTTAGCGCATTTGCATCCAGATGAATGTTATCCTACTGAGCTATGTAAAAAGAATGTAGGACATGAACATAATAGGAGGATTGCTTACTAGGTATTGCATTTTGAACTGTCTGAGGATTGTATTGACCGCGGCAGCCAATCAGTTTCCCTGTTTCATGCCACCAGTTCAGATTTTTAAGACTGAACTCTGGGAAAAATTGTTATTAACCCTCGCAGTGTGGCTATCCCCGCTCTGCAAGGGCGAGTGCTCGTAATTGTCTATGTTCAAAAATAACAAAGCCGTACTCATCTGATCCTCTGAGCCAACTTCCTCTTAGACCGAGCCTTTCCACCTCACTTACCCTCCGCAGCAGTGATGTTACGTCCCTTGGCGTCCTATACATGGTGTATAGAACTTGCTAACTCAGGGACCTTAGACCGCTGCAGCAGAGGCAGGCCGGACTGGTCTAAGAGCAAGCTGGCTCAGAGGGTCGGGTGGGTATACCTTTATTTTTGAACCTAGACAAAAACAAGCACCCAACCCTTGCAGTGTGGGGGTAGCCCCCCAGCATGGGTTAAAAAAAATGTCCCCGGAGTTCTGATTTAAAAGAATACATTGTACACTAAAACAGAACTAACGTGTTCAGATCACCAGCACCTACAATGGAAATGGTACGCAGATCATATAAACATGAAGTCCTACAAATCTTCAATATCCCATGTGATCTGACGGCTCCTCTAATTTGATTACACAAACTTTAAATTTGAATATGAAAATCATTTACCAATTTGGCTGTGCAAATTAAGTGGAATGTAATGACAGCTTAAGTGACCACAAAAGGGATCAGATGATCACATCTCCACCCTTCTTGTATTCCCTAACATACAAACCTTGTCCTGTGGTTGGACTTCACTGACAATTGTAAATAGTTTATTATAAAACAATAATTAAGAATTGTGCCTTTCCTGTACCATGCACCACCGGTGTATATCAATGATCACCACTCACCAGATCATGCCCTCAAACAGATTGTGAATGATTAGGTGAGACTGGGTGACAACAATCAGCAGAGTGACGTGCGTCCAGCCAAACTAGAAAGAAAAATAAAAAGATTTAGATTTCAAACATTGAAAGGATAAAAAAAATTCTGGAATTGATTTTCACTGTAACAATCTGCATATACTATACCAGGGGTAGTCATCATCGGCACTCCAGCCATTGTGGAACTACAAGTCCCATGAGGCATTGCATGACTGACAGCCACAGGCATGACTCCTAGAGGTAGCGGCATGATGATATTTGTCATTTCTTCACAGCTGGAGTGCCAAGGTTGCCTTACAGGCCATAAAATGAAAGAAGGTGGAAGGGGTGAGGAGGGGATGGTTATGGAGAGAGTAGGGGGAAGAGGTGACATATATATTGTAAGCATCAGGGACTCTGCCAAATTACAATACAGACAGGTCCAAATCTTTTGTAGTTGCTAAAAAATAAAAAATGGCTGTAAAATGTTAACATAAATTCTGATCGTGACACAGAATGCTTTGATTATTTGTAAAAATTATCTGAGAGGTATGCTGGCTTCATGACCGCTTCCCTTCGCCCACCTCCACCAGCTGACAGCACCGTGTTCACAATCAGGAGCACAAATCAGGCTGGAGCTGCCTGGTGTACATTCAGGAGATCTACGGCCCTTATAAGTGACTATACTAAGCATCTCTTACAGAGAGCCTGCTAAGCCGACCCTCCCATTTTAGAAAGACCAGAGCTTCACTTTATAAAAAAAAATACTTGTAGCACTATATGTACAATGACCGATCACTGCTAATATTTACCATATAGAACTGGAGACGATAATGCTTCTTCACCAGGCTCAGAACAAACATGCAGAACCCTGCGGGGAAACAAACACACAGTCAGCACTGCTAGCAAACACAATATTTATACTTTTATGTTCCAGACCCAATGTATGCTATGTAGAACTGTATAAAAGTAGAGCAAACTCTATGAGAGCACCCAGGCCCACTGTATGCTATGTAGAACTGTATAAAGTAGAACAAACTTGATGATGGTACCCAGATCCCCTCAAGGTGGGCTTCAGAGGTCAGAGAGAGCTAACCCTTTACACCTTCCCACACTCTCCCCATGACTGACCCCTCCTCACCCTCTACCATTCTACAGCCTGTCAACATCTTAAAGGCAAAGTCTACCTTTTACAAACACAATAATAAATGCATAAAACATTCATAAAAGAAAAAATGCATTTATTATTTTTTTCACTAGAGCCAGTAAAATGTTGCAACCACAATCAATAGATCACGTATGCTCACACAGGGCTTGGGGAACAAAGTGCCTGGGAGCTAAGTGGCGTTAAAAAAATTGGATTTGAACTGTTTGGGATATATTGAGTGCTTGATTTTTTGAATACTTGTTGTCTCCCTTCCTTTTAGACCCTTTTTTAGTATTTAAAAACACTTTTTCCTTTTCTGTCAGTTTTTTTAAACTGTTCCCTTTTTTTTCCCCTCAGGTTGCAGTGCTCTTGTTAGGGGAGGGGTTAATTGAGCTCAGGTGTCTCTCATTGAGCAGGTGTATTATAAACTAGTGCATCACTCATTTTGAGCTTGCTCACACAGGGCTTGGCGAACAAATTGCCTGGTAGCTAAGTGGCGTTAAAAAATTGAAGTTTAACCAGGGTGGTGGTAACTTCTTCCAGGGCGGTGGTATAAATTAAATTTAGTTTAACAAACAAGTTATTGACCCTACCACTTGTGAACCATAATTTAACCCAGGTTGGTAGTATAATTCAGTATAATTTATTTATCTTAATCTAATTTAATTTAAATTATTTAATTTAACAAACAAGTTATTGAACAGGCCACTCGTGAGCCACTAAAGCCTAGAACATAAAACTACAGTTAAATAATTAATCTTATATAATCCCTAATATACATTAAAAATAAAATAAATAAAATAA